TTGAAAACCGTAATAATTCCCATGCATTCTTTTTTGGCAAAAGGTCAGTGGAGTGTATTTTTATATTGAGTGGTTTCCTTTACACCGCTGTACCATAAATTTCTTTGGAATTCAGAGTTATCTGTGAAAATCCCTAGCTGTATAACAAAGGACAACATGAAATAAGTTAGATAAAAAGATAAGGAAAGCTATGCCTACGGCAGTGATTTGTAAGAAATGCAGATATACAGGAAGAGAAGTGAAAACCATTTCTCTTTAACCAACATTGGTGATATTTATTCTTGTATGTAATCTGAAATTGTCTAGATAATCTTGGTAGTCCATTATGGATCCCATGGAATAGTTATTCTGCTAGACATTTTTGAAGAGTGCTATCAAGGCACTGTTTGTAGTCATCACTTTTCTAAAGGCATGCAGCAAAGCTCTGGAGTTAATTGCTGTCTCAGTGTGATGTCTGGATCTTGACATGGCTGGTAGCCAGATTTCATTTAAATTTTAACTCCAGTATGGGAGAGGAGAGGAGCCTGTAATAAAGACTCGAGCATATCTGAGTGTAGATACAGTTCTACCCCCATAGCTGACACTGCTTGACATCAGTTAAATTAAAGGTTGACCGGGCATGTCCTATCAGCTGCCACCTTGAAACTGACCTCCAGCTTCAAGATGAGGTCTGCTGACAGCTGAGCAGGGGGAGTTTGCATCCCTGTTGTCATGTGTTGCCTATTTGAGAGCTTCAGAGGCAAATATACTCGAGTGCTAAAACTGTCTTTTCAAATGTATATGCCAAAACAGTAATTCAACTGGGTAAATAACACAGCAGCTTAAATGAATAAGTGTTATTTAGGTGATAAATATATGTTTGACTGAAAGATTGAAATGGCTCCCCTGGGTAAAATGAAGAAGTATGCTTTCAAAACTCTCTGTTGTAGATGTTTATAGAGGAGAAATGACAGAAAAAAAATCAAGTATCCATGGGGTTATGAGGTAAACAGACGAAACCCTTAAACAGTCATCCACAGCTGAGATAATGATGTTGGGATTTATTTGTTCACAGTAGTATGAGTTGTTTGGGTTAGTCTTTCTTCTTGATTTGTCACTTTGTCACATCTGTACCTTCACTTACACGCAGTTGATGTTGTTTGAGTGTGATCTGCAGTGGTCCATCAAAATGGAAAACCTTCTAAAAACAGCTGGTGGGGAGTGAGTCAGGTGGGGAGATGTGTTCTCTGCAGGAGGAGATGAAGACTGAAGGGAGCTATAAAAAAAGTTTACTTACAAACTCTTCCCCTAGAGACTCTGAAAGTGAAGCTGTTGGTGCAGAAAAAGGCACTGCAAATATAAAGTGAGGGTCGTGTTCTGCTCTTCAAGTTTAAACAAATAAACTTAAGCCTGTTAATTAAGAAAAGGGATTTAGTGGTCATATGTACTTTGCATTTCATTTCTGGGTTTCTAACTTGGGACGGAAGGAACATGAAGCGGCCAGGGCTGAGATGCCTCCTGTAGTATTTTAATGTGACTGCTCTGCATTACTCATCTTCAGATCATTGTTAATATTTCTGTTTTTACAAGTAGTCATCTGAGAACATCGAGATCATGATCAACACAGGTGCTGTGTCAAAGCAAGGAGCAGAACCAAGATGCTGTCACTAGTTTTTTGGTTTATACCAATAAGAGTAACTCTGCAAGAATTTATGCGAGTATGATTCAGTAATGCATTATCTTTAGAGCTCTGATGGACTTAAAACTTGATAAGTTGTTGGTTAAACTTGCAAATATAGAACTTATATAAAACTTCAAGCATTTCTCAATTGTGTTATTTCAGCTTTGTAATGTGGAACCATAAAACCAGGATGTCATCTATTAAATTCTTAGAAGCAAACAGAAGGATCCCTTTCAGTATGTCAGAGGTGAGGCAGCAGCTGTTTCTCACAGACGTGGCACATGCTGCCTATAGCTGCATGCCATACAACAGAAATACAGACTGGAACACAGGGGGCATCTATCTGTTCCATTCGTTGTTGTAAGTTAAGTAGATCTTGACCACTTGTGATAGCCACTCATCTAACTTCCTGTTAAACTCCTCTGTTGTTTTGAATGCCCACAGCTGTCACAGTTCTCTTCCTATGTAGATTTTCCTGGGACACTGAAATCTCCCAGTTGGACAGCTAGAAAACCAGGTCATTTTTGTTGCAGAGCAGAAAAAGATCATCTATGGGGGGGTGTTTCCAAAGACATACAAATTCAATTCTGACCTGCAGTTTTTACCAGTTTTTAAGCTAACAACTTCAAGATTTTCGTGAGACAATGTCTGTTAATCTTCCCACCTGTATTCCTTTTATCACAATAATAATGCCCACTCTGATACTTCCTGGAAATAGCTTTTTCTTTGACTCTTTCACTTTGACAATGGATATAGTGATCCTGAAGAGCAGGGCTCTTTAGAATGTGTCAAGGAGTCTCTTCTCAGGTTGGATACTGCTGTTTAAGTATGCACAATCTACTTTCAAAGAAATCATTAACAGCACACTTCTTAAATATGTTGAAAAAAAAATCATCATTTATTACCATAACTTGGAATTGTGAAGTGAAGGAAGTGTAACACTGCACACAAAGGAGAGGAAGGAGTCTTCACTTTTACGCTGATTTCCCAGCTCTGCCAGTGATTCCAGTATGACATTCAACAGGTGATGTTTTGTGCTCTGTACCTGGTTTTCCTATACAGGTGTGTAAGGACTAGTTTAAATTCTGGTAAGATGGTGCCTCACTTCACTGTGATAGGAACTTTGAGATAGCTGCTGTTGCTGTAATCCATTACAAATTAAATACAGTTTTTATGCAACATTACATGTTTGAGTCTGGTTGACGCCGGTGATCTTGGGTGGCTCTGAAGGCACATTGCTTGACATTTTCAGCCAGTTTTCCTTTCTTTGCAGCCTGTCCTTGCAGCAGCTTCTGCTTTCTTTTTGTCTTTGGTTTGTGTTAGTGCTGGGATGTTGTCATGGTTTAAAACCAGTCAGACAGCTCGTTCACACACTTCCCCCCCTTCTTGCCCTCCCCCTGCTCCTGGAGGGACAGAGAGGAGAATCGAAAAGAATGCAACTCCCACGGGTTGAGATAAGAACAGTTTAGTAACTAAGGTATAACACAGATCACTGCTGCTACCACCAATAATAATAATGATAAAGGAAACAACAAGGGAAGAGAATACAACACCTCACACCAGCCGACTGATAACTTGCCCCCCCCCCAGCCCGACCAAGCACCAGCCGATACCTCCTCCAACCCTGCAGTCTGTCTGCCCTTCCAGGTAACTCTCCGTTACCTCCTGGGCATGATGTGCTGTGGTATGGAATACGTCTTTGGCTAGCTTGGGTCAGGTGTCCTGTCTCTGCTTCCTCCTGGCTTCCCCTCCTCCCTGGCAGAGCATGAGGCTCACAAAGTCCTTGGCCAAACCAAAACATCGGTGTTATCAGCTCTGTTCCCAGGCCGAAAGTCAAAACACAGCACTGCACCCGCTACCAAGAAGGAGAAAAATGACTGCTACTGCTGAACCCAGGACAGATCTTATCATAGACCCATTAACACAGAAAATGAAAAAACAAAAAAGTTGCCAAAACCTGCATAGCAGCTGGTATTCAGAGCATTCTTTTACCATTTCAAAACAGTGCCAACATAATATCTGTTTCATTATGTACAAGTGTACGTGCTGCTAACATAGATAATTTGGAATCTGTAATTGAAACTGTGCTATTGCAGCTCTCTCAATTAAAGATAGTCAAGACAGAAAAGCTGTTATGTACTTACCTGCTGGAATTATATGTCATTCTGTGCTATCCTGTTACATTCAGGCAGTGCTGGAATATATTTCAAAAGTAACTTGCCATTTATTGAAAACAGCATTACACCATGAAAAAAAACGTGGAGTAAACATTGCGATTGCACTAATACTGTCAGGTTGTATTAGAGGTGTCACTACTGTCTTGTGTGTAGTAATAGTGATATTGATGGTACTGCTACATTTCTGTGATTGTTAACGTATTTTCTGTGGGTTTTTGATCTTTGTAGTTTCTGTTGTAATAGTTCTAAAAATGATTTCTCACCATGTTGTTTGGGAATATGGATCACAAATCAAATGTAGCTACATCCTGCAGCTTGAAAGCACTGCTAACTCTTCATGTACTCCATGTTTAAAATACGTGCAGCCTCAGAACCATCCTGCTCAGCTGAGAACAAAAGAGGTTTGCACCATGTTTTAAAGGCTGACTATTTCATGGGCTGGAAGCCAGAGCACTCGACCAGAAAGGTCTTGTACCTTGTCTTCAATAATGCATGTTGAAGAACCATCAAATGATGGATTTTAACTAACCACAGCACAAGGGAGAAAGACTTGTAGATTGTCCCTGCTTCAGGCAGAGAGAACTTAAAAGGCAATGCATTGAGTTGTACTAACTTTCTTTAAAGAAGGGGAGATGCACATTAGAGTACAGAAACTGTCCTCTAAATCCTTTCTGTGCATTTCTTCTGTCAGCTCTCTTGTCTATGGCCTGCAGTTTATCAGACTACTTTACTATATAAAACAGTGGTAATAAAAATGTGCAATCAGTTCATTTAGACTGAAGTTACCCCTAAAGTTCACCTTTCTGATAATTTTTTATACCGTGGTTGCGTACATGGTGCAACTGAAAAGAGCTCAGGGAGACTCGCATGTGCTTTATTGATTCTCTAATGCTACTGTGTTTGATCAGTAAAGAGCAATCATAGAATTAAAGGGTTGGATGGAGAAGAAGACTGCAGATGCTCCACAGAAAAAGGTCTTTTTCAAATATAGGGGCCAAATTCTTACATATAGATCGAAACAGTGGGGAGATTGCTTCAGAGTAAGAAAGGAAAGTTACAGTTTGATTTAAAAGGTAGCATTGCCACAGATGTTCATCTAAAATAAAAATACTTGTATTAAAAGCAGTTATCTCATTTGATTTTTATTTGCTTTCATTTTATAGGCCCATGGGTCTCTAGGAATAGCAGCATAGATAGCGGAGAAACAGAAGTTGGCCGCAGGGTCACCCAGGAAGTGCCCCCTGGGGTTTTCTGGCGGTCTCAGATCCATATCACCCAGCCACAGTTCCTGAAGTTCAACATATCCTTAGGGAAGGATGCTCTTTTTGGTGTTTATATAAGAAGAGGACTCCCACCATCACATGCCCAGGTACTTTGTCAATGTGTTTGTTGGCTTTAAATGTCAAAATGCAAAAGTTTAGAGCATTTGTGTTAGATTTGTGTTGTAGCTTATGGAGCTCAAGTTTAGGGTTTCCTGGGAATTACTTATTTTGTGATATTTGACTGAACACCCTGATATTATTTCTAGGTTATTACATAACAGTATATTGATAAAAGAAGTAAATGATGTTCTAGCCATCCAGGTTTTTAAGATAACTTACAGTTTGTCACTCAAGGTTTTAAATCTGTGACAAAGTCTTGGCACCAACTGGGATAAACCTATCCAGTTATACACCAGTCAGAAATGATAAGTAGTGTTGGTGAGACTCACAGTATCAAAGCACTACATATAGTTGGAGTGCATGCACAGCTAGATGTGTTTACATCATTTTCTGTCTTCCTAGAAGTTTTAATGTCCACAGGCTGTTGGAATGTCATTGCTGGGATATGCAACAGACTGGCATCATGCTGCCCAGCCATATTGGACAACATAATGCAGTGGCCATGTGTTTGTGTGTTTGAGAGCTCTAGTTTTCCTGCATTCCCCTCAAGGATGGTATTTAGGTCTAACATCTGACTCAGACATGGGGCAAGTCTTGCCACTGGAAAACTTGATTTCTAACCAGCCTCAAAATGAAAACTCAGTTAACGCTGCATCTTTATGGTGACCCTGTAGTGCATGTCTAAGAGCCGTAGGTAAAGATAGCTGTAAAGTTAGTGAGACCAAACTGAACTATCATTTCCTTTTTTGTTGTGCAGTGGGTGTTTTAATTGCTGGGAGAAGATATAGCTGTATTTTCTGTTACATAGAGAAATTCTGTTATTATATTGAAGACTCCTTAATGTGAATGTAAGGCTTCCCATTTACTTAGATTAGAACTGTAATGAGAAATAATATATTGGTGGGGTTGCTCTTTATGTGCGGGAGGAACTACAGTGCACCGAGTTCTGTCCAGGGACAGATGATGAGCGAGTTGAGAGTCTGTGGGTGAGAATTAAGGGGCAGGCTGGCAGGGGGGATACTGTTGTAGGTGTCTGTTACAGACCACCGGATCAGGGTGAGGAAGTTGACGAGGCCTTCTACAGGCAGCTGAGAGCGGCCTCACAGTCACAGGCCGTGGTCGTCGTGGGGGATTTTAACTTCCCTGATGTTTGCTGGAAGGACCACTCGGCAACCCAGCCACAGTCCAGGAGGTTCCTCCAGTGTATGAATGATAACTTCCTCCTGCAAATGGTGGATGAGCCGACCAGGAGAGGAGCGCTGCTGGATCTCATCCTCACTAACAAGGAGGATCTGGTCGAAGCAGTAAGGGTTGAGGGCTGCCTTGGTTGCAGCAACCACGAGATGGTGGAGTTCAGGATCTTGTGTGGCAGGACTAGTAGAATACCAAGTAGAATTGCAACCCTGGACTTTAGCAGGGCAAACTTTGGCCTTTTCAAGCAATTGCTAGGGGAAATCCCATGGGCAGGGCTGCTTGAAGGTAAAGGGGCCCAAGATAGTTGGTTGACATTCAAGGACTGCTTTTTCCGTGCTCAAGATTGGAACATCCCGACACGTAGGAAGTCAAGGAAGAGGGCCAAGAGACCTGCGTGGCTAAATAGGGAATTGCTGGGTATGCTCAAGTGGAAGAGGAGAGTTTACAGGTCATGGAAGGAGGGGCTGGCCACTTGGGAGGAATATAAGGCTGCTGCTAGAGGATGTAGGAAGGCAGCTAGGAGGACTAAGGCATCCTTAGAATTAAACCTGGCAAGAAGGGTCAAGGACAGCAAAAAGAGCTTTTTTAAATACATGGCAGACAAAACTAACACCAGAGGCAATGTAGGCCCACTGATGAACGAGATGGGTGCCCTGGTGACAGAAGATAAAGAGATGGCAGAGTTACTGAATGCCTTCTTTGTCTCTGTCTACTCTGCTGCAGGCAGTCCTGAAGAGCCCTGTACCCCTGAGACCTTAGATGAAGTCAGGTCGACGGAGCAGTTTGCCTTAGTCGATGAGGAATGGGTTAGAGACCAGTTGAGCAATCTGGACATCCATAAATCCATGGGTCCAGATGGGATGCACCCGCGGGTGCTGAGGGAACTGGCGGAAGTCATTGCTAGACCACTCTCCATCATCTTTACCAAGTCTTGGGAAACGGGAGAGGTGCCTGAGGACTGGAGGAAAGCAAATGTCACTCCAGTCTTCAAAAAGGGCAAGAAGGAGGACCCGGGTAACTATAGACCGGTCAGCCTCACCTCCATCCCTGGGAAAGTGATGGAACACCTTATCCTTGGTACCATCTTAAGGCATATCAAGGATAAGAAGGTTATGAGGGGCAGTCAACATGGCTTCACCAGGGGGAAATCATGTTTGACCAATCTCTTAGCCTTTTATGAGGAAATAACACGGTGGATGGATGATGGCAGAGCGGTGGATGTGGTCTACCTTGACCTCAGCAAAGCATTTGACACAGTCTCCCACAGCATCCTCGCGGCTAAAATGAGGAAGTGTGGACTGGATGATCAGGTAGTGAGGTGGACTGCGAACTGGCTGAAGGAGAGAAGCCAGAGAGTTGTAGTCTATGGGGCTGAGTCTAGTTGGAGGCCTGTAACTAGTGGAGTGCCTCAAGGGTCAGTACTGGGACCGGTATTATTTAATATATTCATCAATGATTTAGATGAGGGAATTGAGTGTACTATCAGCAAGTTTGCTGATGACACTAAGCTGGGAGGAGTGGCTGATACGCCAGAAGGCTGTGCTGCCATCCAGCGAGACCTGGATAGGCTGGAGAGTTGGGCAGGGAGTAACTTGATGAAATATAACAAGGGAAAGTGTAGAGTCCTGCATCTGGGCAGGAACAACCCCAGGTTCCAGTATAGGTTGGGGAACGACCTGTTAGAGAGCAGTGTAGGGGAGAGGGACCTGGGGGTCCTAGTGGACAACAGGATGACCATGAGCCAACACTGTGCCCTTGTGGCTAAGAAGGCCAATGGCATCCTGGGGTGTATTAGAAGGGCGGTGGTTAGTAGGTCGAGAGAGGTCCTCCTTCCCCTCTACTCTGCCCTGGTGAGACCGCATCTGGAGTATTGTGTCCAGTTCTGGGCCCCTCAGTTCAAGAAGGACAGGGAGCTGCTGGAGAGAGTCCAGCGCAGGGCAACTAAGATGATTAAGGGAGTGGAACATCTCCCTTATGAGGAAAGACTGAGGGAGCTGGGTCTCTATAGTTTGGAGACGAGGAGACTGAGGGGTGACCTTATCAGTGTCTATAAATACATAAAGGGGGAGTGTCACGAGGACGGAGCCAGGCTCTACTCAGTGGCAAACAATGATAGGACAAGGGGTAATGGGTACAAACTGGAACACAAGAGGTTCCACTTAAACTTGAGAAGAAACTTCTTCTCAGTGAGGGTGACGGAACACTGGAACAGGCTGCCCAGGGAGGTTGTGGAGTCTCCTTCCCTGGAGACATTCAAAACCCGCCTGGACGCATTCCTGTGTAACATTATCTAGGTGTTCCTGCTCCGGCAGGGGGATTGGACTAGATGATCTTTCGAGGTCCCTTCCAATCTCTAACATACTGTGATACTGTGATACTGTGATATTTGCAGTTACACATACTAAAAAGAAAGAGCCTCCATTCTTTAGAGTGCAAGGGAAGCAGAAATAGCAACCAGCTTTTGAAAAGGATCCCTTCCTTCATGCATATCCTTGCTGGTAAAAATCAGTTCTTCATTCTGAAATTATTACCTAAACTTAAAATGCTTTATTGAGTATGGAATTTCCAAAAAGCAAATGTAGAACTGCACAATTCCTTTTGGGAAAGGCTCATTTAACATTTCTAGATGACTTGCCCTGATTTACAAAGAGCTGCTGCTGCAGAAAACTGCAGCTACCTAGATGGTTAAAATGCATGATTGAAGCTAAAAGCCCAGAGGCTTTAATATAATTGCATTGCAACATGTTGCCATATAGGGGAAGGCTGTTCATATTGCCCTAAGTGACCTGTGTCCATGTGAATGCACAAACTCATGGTACAAACAGTGAACCAATTAATTTTTTGGGGAAAACACACATTAACTGATGTTTGGAGCTGCTTCCCAATGTGAGGTAAATTTAAGGAACTATTCTGCATTGCTGCTTGTTCCTTGGTATTTATTCTTGCCTATAATCTGAATTGTAAACCAAAATCTGTAAAGAGAGTTGGGAGAAAAGGAGAGGTTTACATGGCTTCATGACCTCTCTAAGAATTTGTGAACAAGGAGCTTTGACTATCCAAATTCCATCAGACCCCTCTAATATGCTGTTTAAAAATGTGAGTTCTTGAATTGATGTATCTACCTGTTTAGAAATAAGGATCAGCAGTCCACAACCCCAGGAAGGGAGGGTAAGTGGATAGATTTCTGTATAGCTAGAGGTTATCATACAGCATCCTGAGGTTCCATACAAAGACTAGATACACTGTGGAAATTGTAGTGGGCTATTGACTAAATTTCAGCCATTCCCAGACATCCGTGCAACACAGAAGTTATCCTCTGAGAATATATTCCAGGGTAGGAACCCTAAAAATGTTTTAATTTTGGATGTAATGCTTCAAATATGTTGTTTTGAGAGTAAAATTATGTATTTAACTGTTTCAGTGAAGGAATGACATAATATATTGACCATGTCTCATTTAATTCTGAATTTTGGTTCTCACTTCCTCTATCAATCCACCTTTGGAAAAAACAGCAATTTAGTTGAGGAAGGCAAATAAATGTATAAATCAGGACGTGAAAATGACTTAAGGCAACCAAAGCCCCTAAGCAGTCATCAAGTTTAGCTATAAATACAAGTTAATTATAATTGTCTAAGACATGATGAAGGGTTGCCTGTATGTTTCACAAGAAATCCAGTTGGATTTAACTGGTTGTATAACTTTTTTTTTTTAATTCAAGATGAACTTTAATTTCTATTGCACTGTGATCAAATATATTTGTTCTAGTTTTCATTATGATGTTCTCATCTCAGAA